ATTAACAAGTAAATGGACAAATTGTGGTTTATCCATACAATGTATAATATTCAACAATAAAAAGGAATAGATTGTGCATAAATCTCAAAATAAGTATGGATAAGTCTTAAAGTAATTATGCTGAGTAAGAGAAACCAGACAAAAAAATTACTGTATGATTCTATTTACATAAAATTCTAGAAAATGCAGACTACTCTACAACAACAGAAAGCAGATCAGTGGTTGCATGGGAGTGGAGGTGGGGAGGGGCAGGAGGGAGAGATTACAAAAGTGCATATGGAGGGGCCGGCCCGGTGGTGCAAGCAGTCAAGTGCGCGCGCTTCTCTGTGTTGGCCCGGGGTTCGCCGGTTCGGATCCCGGACACGCACCGACACACTGCTTGGCAAGCCATGCTGTGGTGGCGTCCCATATAAAGTGGAGGAAGATGGGCACGGATGTTAGCCCTGGGCCAGTCTTCCTCAGCAAAAAAAGGGGAGGATTGGCAGATGTTAGCACAGGGCTGATCTTCCTCACAAAAAAAAAAAAAAAGTGCATATGGAAACTTTTGAGGATGGTGGAAGTGTTCACTAACTTGATTGTGGTATTGCCCCATCATAGAATACATATGTCAAAACTTAATCAAGTTATACGCTTTATATGCAAGTTATCGTATGTCAATTATACCTACTAAAGCTGTTATAAATAAATAAATAGCTATAAAATTTTAGAAGTTTTAGAATAATTTAGGCATCAGAAAGCATTTAACATGCATCAGTCTCTATATTCTATTTTAGATGTTACACGTCACATTAAGTATCTAATAGGAGAGCAAATTCAAACTCACAAAATGAAATATCACTAACAATAATTTTGCACACGAGTCTTGGGTGACCAGAGCAAATGGAGAATATACAGATGTCTCATTTTCAGATACAGTGAATGATAGGCAATCTTTATTGAGATAAGCTCAAAATTATGTCTCCCACATTTCCAAAAAACAAAAAAGAGTAAAGAAAAAAGAAAGAAAAGGAGGAAATAGAATGAAATAAGTTTATCAAACTAGTCACTCATCTTAATTTTTTTCTTTTTTTTAATTGAACTATAATTTACATACCATAAAATTCATCCTTTTAAAGAGTACAATTCATTGGTTTTTAATATATTCACAGGGTTATGCAATCATAACCACTATCTAATTCCAGAATATTTTCATCACCCCAAAAAGAAACCCTATACCTATTAAGCAGTCACTCTCCATTTCCCCCTCCCTCCAGCCCTGTCAACTGCCAGTCTATTTTCTGTCTCTATGGATTTGCTAATCTGGACTTTTCATTATAAATGGAATCATGCAATCTGTAGCCTTTCCTGTCTGGCTGCTTTCATTTAGCATAATGTTTTCAAGATTCATCCATGTCACAGCATGTGCCAAAACTTGATTACTTTTTATGGGTGAGTAATAGTCCATTGTATGAATACCATAGTCATCAGTTGACAGACATTGGGTTGTTTCCACTTTTTGGCAACTATGAATAATGCTACTGTGAACATACATGTACAGGTTTTTTGTATACATACATTTTCAGTTCTCTTGGATATATACCTAGGGGTGCAATTTCTTGGGCATAAGGTAACTCCACGTTTAACTTTTTGAGGAAGTACCAAACTATTCTACAAAGCAGCTGCACCATTTTACACTCCCACCAGCAATGGATGAGGGTTCTAATTTCTTCACCCACACTTGTTACCATCCATCTCTTTTATTATAACCATTCTAGTGAATATGGAGTGATATCTCATTGTGGTTTTGATTTGCATCTCCCTGATGACTGATGATGAGCATCTTTTCATTCATTGACCTTCTCTAGCCTCAGAAAATAGACAGGATTAGACCTGAGTGGTACCTGAATAAATGACCACCTTGTTTTTCCCCTTTATTCCCTTTCTATATCAAGATACGTCATTTATTTATTCATTCAATGAACTTATACTGAGACTGACTCAGCCCTGTGTTAGGTACAGTCAGAAATTCTGAAGAAATAGAAATGATGGCCTCTACCATCAGGAAGCTTAAATTATAATTGAGAATAAGAGTAACAAAAGAATCATAATGAACATACGTCTTAAAGATACCTTAAAAAATATGTATCTTAAAAGATTACATCAAAGATCATTTTCAAGTAGAAATTCCTCCTTAAATCCCTACAATCCCTAGGCACTTCTTGTAAGAGCTGTAACCCAACATGCAAATTGCCTAAAAACACTTAGCTTTACATATTGTGAAAGGTAGGTTCAGGGCTTTTTTTGTGGATAAATGGAGTTAAATCTATATGTCCTGGTTCTAGTGTGTCCCAATTCTCACTCGCTGGCGAGTTCATTTGAGAGGGTTTTGTTACATAACTTCTATGTTTAAAGATTTGACACTCCAGTTGGGCTGCTGGGTCAGATGTTCGGGCTCTTCTGGAAACCAAATGTGTGCACTAACAAAGAAACTGCACCAGGCAGGCTGGGAGCTCGCCTCTGCTCTAGTGTGCTTCCCATAGCGTCATTTTGTCCATCTTCTCCCCAGGCCTAGGGGGTTAAATTGTTTGGTTTCCACCACGGCCGCATCATGGATTCCTGCTGTCTTTCTTCCTAAACACCCTGAGGCTAGGCCAAGCAGACAGGCCGGCAGCCTCTTTTATAGAGGACTCAGCATCTAAACTGGTAATGCTAGAACATGGTGTTAGAGAAGAGACCTTGGCGCGTGGCCTGCATTTCCAGAGTCTTCTCTCCTTCCGCTGATCTTCAAAGAAACAAGAGAAGTAGAAACAGCAATGAGGCAGAAAACATTTTGAATCAGCAAAAGCATCCAACAGCAGATTTCTGGATGTCTAACATTCAAACTAAAAATAGAACAGGTTTCTATAGGCTTAATTGAGTAAATAAGATATAATAAGATTCTTCCACAATGCCCGACACTTAATAAAATGCTTGTTGAACCAACTGGTTCATCAGTCACATGCCAGGCATGTGACTAAAGAGAACTAAGAACATCCTTCTAAACTTAGCAATCGTGCATGTGCATCAATATGCATATATAAATCCTTAACATTCATAGGACCTAACGGTCCTGAAAAGCCATTTGCCCATGACCTTCATTAACATAGTTCAAAACTAAGACAGCAAACACTTGGATACAAGTCCCAGTTTTGCTGTTTACTAATTTCATGACCTTGAACAAGTCATTTAAAATGTCAGAATCTTAATTCCCTTATTGTTAAGGTCCTTTATACTTCTGAAAAGCATTCTATTCGAACTTGTACTCTTCATGGCACATGCAGTGCCTCTGGGTTCTTTTACTTTGGTTTCCGTTTCTTGCTTCCCATCCAGGCCAGCTCCGCTTTCCTGAAAGATGGGCAAAGCTGCCTAAAATAAAAACAAAATAAGCTTTGAAAAAAATCACAACGTCCATCTCTACGCTAGTCATAGGTCACAAGGCAGTGAGGATCCATTTTAGCGTAATGCTCAGGAGCGTGGTGGCTGAGTTCTAAGCACATGGCGTTGATGCCTGACAGACCTGGATTCCAGCTCCGATTCTGACAGCTACTAGCCATGTGATCTTGGACAAATTGCTTAACCTCACCAAGCTCAGTTTTCTCATTGGTGCTTCCCTGGGCTGTGGTGGCTTTAAGTGACATCAGACACATACAATGCTTAGCATGGGGCCTGGCACACAATGAGGGAGCACTTAATATCAGTTACTCTTCTCTTGACAAACATGATCTCTAAATTAGTTTCCTGGCAATTAAGGTAACATACACTCATGACATTTATTAGAGTTTGCAAGGGTCCCATATGCTAGTGCTCTAATTCTGTTCTTCCTCCAACAAAAATCTCCATTTGGATAGCAATTTGCAGTTTAAGATCCACTTTCACAAATATTGCATTTTTCCCTCTGACTTTTAGTCTATTACCTTTTTTAATGCCACACAGCATTATCCCAAGCTCCAATTTTTATACACAAAAGGATGATAAAAATAAAAGAAAGTGGAGCATTGACTATTAGCTGCCATCAAACTTATGCAAATATTCCTAAACATTTAAATAATTAATTAGCTGGTTTTTTTCTTTGGTAATACTATTGTAAAAGATCATTATTTTTACTTTATAAGGATTTTATCAACATGTATGAATTCAACATGCACTATGCCAATGTGAAATTAATACGCAGGGCTAGAGAACTGCAAGATATATTGTCTCTTCTATTCAGAGAGAAGTAACTACCAATGACAATAAGGGGCCAATGTCAGGTCAAACAGGTAATGCTTGACAACTGGCCACAGATAAGCAAGACTTTGACTCATTGCTAAGTGCAGGTATTCCCACAGAACACCATGTATGACTACTGTGTGCACAGCAGAGACAGCAGGGCCGAAGCAGTATCAACGTTGCCCGACCTAAAGTTGTGGAAGTTGTGGAAGAGAAGTCAAAAGAACAACACTGGATGGTGCACAATCACAGGCTACATTGACAGGACAGACTGTGAATGCCATAAGGCAGTGGTTTTCAAAAAATGTGAGGCACCTTGAGCTCTAAAGAATTCCTTTTGGGGGCATCCAAATGTAAAAGAGACACCAGAGGAGTTGAGTTGATTGGAGAAGTGGAGAGCCCTCCCCTGTGGTCCTCTGGCTGCAAAGATCACTGTTTTAAACACTGCCAGGACTTGAGAGATGGGTAAGATTTGAATGACAGAGAGAGGGGACGAAGGCATTCCAGGTAGGGGGGGACGAGCAAGAGCAGAGGCAAGAAGGGGGGAATTCAAAGTCAGATGTTGTGCGCCTTCCTCATGGACACCTAGTGAGAAGGAGGTGGTAAGTCATAAAAGGCACTCACGTGGTAGCTTTTGGTTTCCAACCTGAGCTAATTTTTGAATATTTTAAGCCTAGTGAAATAGTTAACAAATGCCCTAAGTCAGGGCACATGGGAAACTTAAGGTTAATGGTCTGCAGTCAAATAACGTGTCTTGTTATTCTTCATTTCAGAATCGTTTCAAGTAGTCGTGAGAGGAAACGGCTTCCGACATGCCCGCAACGTGGACAGGGTCCTCTGCAGCTTCAAGATCAACGAGTCAGTCACGCTCAGTAAGTGCTTGCAGAGTTTGTGGGTTTCTTCAGCCTGCTTCAGGGAAGGGCGTTCCCAGCCCCATCTTCCAGCAAGACCACACAGGGGACCGTACAGAGAAGGGTCTTCCCTGCTGGAAAGGCCTCCAGCAAGGGCATAACTAGCCCCTACAGCACTCTTGTTCCCATCAGGAAAGGTGCAGTGTACTTATTTCCCAGTCCACCAACATGAGTGCTAAGTTACTTACAGGTGGCAGTGCTGGCGCTGGTAGGTGAGGGCTTATGAAGCTTGAGGTTCCTTACCAAAGTATTAGGGACTCTCAAGCACCAGAGTGAAAAATAGGTGATCTAAATTTATTAATTCTGAATAAAGCAAAAGCCACACTGTTAGGCTTACATGTGTAGATTCTGGAATTTTTTTCAATCTGGATGATTCTTGCTTGGAGTAGCCAAGAAACTCTCATCATGGTGAAAACCTAACATGAAATACAGGAATATGGAAGTAAAACTAAGTGCATTTCATGCGAAAAATGAATTATCATAACATTGGCACTTTCACAAGACATTTGTAGCAGGCAAGTTCTTCATTTAAAGACATATGTGACTCATGTAGCTGTCCGGGGGAGATGAGGAAGACTGATTATGGCAGGCAGATGGCCAGGAGCCCCGGTTTTCATTTACATCTGGCAACCATCACACAGATAATTATTGATTCAGTTTCCGCAGTGACAAACAGTAATAACATATTGCATTTTCTATAGTGCTACGTCCTTTTAAATGCTTCACATCTTTTTACCACAGCAGCCCTGGGAGTTAGAAAGAGCAAAGAGGACAGGGAGGATACTCATGTCTATTGACTAACCACTCATACTAGTCTTGTCGTCCTGATGGAATATACCCTTTTGTCCTCCTTAACATCTTAAAACCCATTTGCATATTTAAACAGAGATATGCAATGTCTTCCTTACAAACATCTGGAATTCCTGGCCTTGGAATAATTCCAAACATTTGAAACATTCAGTTAGTTTTCTTAATACTTGGAAATGCTCTCATGTATCCAAAAAGTACATGCTATTTGAAAACATTTTGAAATATCCCCGAGTAGTCACAGTGTAGAAGCTGGATGGGCATCCTCTGCAGAGTTCTTCCTGTTTCTCCCCTTTCAATTGTGATGTCACTCAAGTCTGCCTTCCCTCTCTCCTTAAGTAAAATCTCAAATCTAAGATAAGAAACTCCTGAGGGTTAAACTCAAAGACATCAACTCCTTCCAAAGAAGGTTCCCAGGCAAGCAAGCCTTCGGACCCAACCCCTCTCTGAGGATGAATGGAAATGGGGTGTAGTGTTGCCATTGCTTGAAAACTTGCACAGAGATGCTGTATTAGGATATCAGGAAATGCAAGTTTACTTTGGATTTGTGGAGTGACATTTTGAAGGCCTATTTTCCAACTTCTCCATGAAATGTTATTTCTTGGGAAACCAGCTCGTCTTCTTTCTCCCTCTTCCCTTCCTTTCCTAATATATACCTGCACAGGCTCTCCACCTCATTCATATTCAAAAAGAAATAAAGGACTGTTGGGGTAGGAATTTGGCTTAAACCACAAACCTAACTGTGCTGGAAGCATTTGAAGAAGAAGAAGGCAGTGACTCAACCATATTATATGCTGTAAGCAATACTCCTAAACTCAAACATATAGTTATTAAAAATATTCTAACTAAGGGGGAAATTTTGGAATTTGAAAAAACACTTGTCCTTCATTTATTAATTCACCTGTTCATTTCCATTTAGTGAATAATACGAACAGGAAACTATGGAAGACACAAAAGATAAATAAATTTTAAAATGCAACATATTCAAATCTACATTTTTCTATCAACTTTATGAATGTAATAGTCTCTACTGAGTTGTTTCTGTAAAATAAAATAAATTTAAATTCCTTTACTTTTCCCACTGACCTTCCTTACCTCCACATCCCAAGTTTTAAAATGTTATCTACTTTCATTTTTGTAGTATATATTTCCTCTTTCAAGATTTTCTCCTAAATGCCGCCTTACATTTTGTAATAAAAAAGAATGTAAGTGCCATTATTAATCAGAAAAAGACTAATTGAAGGCCCAATAATGAAGCTAAGGCTATTTTGGCTCCAGCCAGCTCAAACATAATACGGGCCTCGGAGTCTTCCACAAATACTACAGTAGAGGATTATATGAAGCAGAACTGTTAAACATAAAAGAACAAATTGAAAACTTATGTTTATAGTGGAAGATATTAACATGACTTTCCGAGTCTTTAAATGAATAATAAAAAAATTAAAGTATAGAGCAGATATTTACTATATACCTTTTTAAATGGCTATGAACATCCTTAAACATTTATTATACTGAGAGACAAATAAAATGCCAACATATTAATGCCCAAAAGTAGAAATTATTTCAATATATTCTTAGATGGTAAATATAACCAGAAAATAAAAAGCATAGGTTAATACCTACTTCTCTCCCATTTTCCTTGCCTTTGCTTAAAAATCAAATCAACGAATCAACCACTTAGAAATCTAAAACAATTTCTGGACTTGTGGTCAATATAATAGACTCAGAAATTCTGGATAAAATATGATTTTAAAAATTGTAACATGTGGCCTTGCTCAAAGAATTGAAGAGGAAACCCTCAGCTACAGGAGACAAAAAGGGAATGTAACATCTAAGCAGGAAGCGAAGCTGTGAGGGCTCCAGGCCTGGGGGTCTGCAGGCTGTGATCCCGATGCTGATGCAGATACAGGACACCAGCCTGCGCAAGGCAGCGGGCAAGAGCAGAGCCCCCTGCAAAAACCAGGGTTTATAATGCTGCACCACACGTTAAACGGGGACTGGAAAAGCTGCTCAGTGACTGAAGGAAGCAGGCAGGGGAATAAAGGTAAGATGTTATACCAACCACGTGATACGGAAGCACCAAGTCAGGAAACTAACCCCAAAATGTGTCCATGGCCATCCTTATCCCTGTGGTCCTGGCAGAGGCAATGTATGTCCAGCCCAACCTACAGCACTCCTGCAGCCAACAACACCCTCTGAAGATGGGCTCAGAGCACCAAATGACAAACCATAAGGAGATGGATGAAAGAAACAGGAGAACAAGCAAGAAGAGAGGACTAGAGAACAATTTGAAAGAGAATGTAAAATAAAATGTGTAAAGAGATCGAACAGACCAAAGGGGAAGAACATTCAACAAAGGCAGATTTGCAGAAGAATCTAGTGTAAATTCTAGAAGTGGTAATGTTTATTCACTGAAATACACTTAATGGATGGATTAAGCAGTGTGATTAAACACAGATGAAGATGAAATGCATGAACTGGAAGAGAGATACAAGGAAATCCCACCACCCAACCAACCAAAGAACCAGACCCAGATTTTTTTCACCCAAGTTTTACCAGACCTTAAGAGACAAATGACCTGTATCTGATACATATTGTTCCAGAGACAATAAATAGAGAAAAAGCATTTTAATTCATTTTATAATAATTATATAATCTTGATCTTTTAAAAAAAAACTGGACAAGGATACTAGAAGTACAGATTATTTGAGATCAAGCTCATTGATGACAAACATCTAAATAAAATATTGGCAAAGAAGATCCAGCAATGTATTTAAAAAGGACCAGGACCAATTTTGAAGAATGAGGGAGAATTTGCCTCTTGCGTAGCAAAACTTTTTGACGCCAAGAAGGTATTAAAATTCATTATCCATTCCAAATTTTAAAAATATATACTTTTAGAAAACTAAGACTAGGGTAAGACTTCTTTAACATAATAAAAAATATATCTAGATATTTGAATTCAAAACTCGACATCATTTAATGGTAACATCACTATGTAGAGGTATTCACTTTACAGTTAGGAAGAAAAAAAAACAGAGCAGCCCATTTCACCATTATTACTTAACATCGTTCTGAAAGCTCTAGCAGTACTGTGCAATAGAACTTTCTGTGACGACAGAAATGTAAGATGGTAGCCAATATGGTAGCCACAAGCCACATGTAGCTATTGCGGACTTGAAATGTGGGTGGTGCAATTGAAGGACTGAATTTTTAATTTCATTTGATTTTAATTAACTTAGCCACTTGTGGCTAGTGACTAGTGTATTGGACAATGACATAGGTATCACAATAATGCAAGAAAAGTGATGAGAGAGATAAATACAGGAAAGGGGGCCAAACATCATTACTTTAAAATGATGGTTGTGTCTTCCTGTAAAACTAAAAGAGAATCAACAAAATACTAGACTAATACAAAGGTTATTTAAACTGGATGATTTCAAAATAAACACACCCTTGTAACAATCGGTAGCTTTGCCAGAGTTCAGCAATGACCAATTAGAAAACATCACAGGAAAAATAGAGCAACAACATATAAAATCTAGTAAGAGCTAATTTAACCAAACTTGTAAACATACGAGAAGGAAGTTAGAAAACTTTGTGAAGGATGTGAAGAAAGTGTAAATAAATGGAGAGGTAGTACTGACTCGTAGCCTGGCATAGGCACCAGAACCAAACCACCCAGGAAAAGAATCCTGGCTCTGTCTTACAGCTGTGTGACCGTGGCAAGTTATTTAACATCTCCATGCCTCAATTTCTCTACCTGTAAAATGAGTATGGCAATAATAGCACCTCTGTCATGGTTTGTTCTGAGGTTTAAATGTGGAAGATGGGGCTTAGAATGGGGCCTGGCACACAGTAAGTAGCCGATCAGTGTTGGCTGCTGATATTAATTTATTATTATTATTATCACTATTATTAAATGGAGCAGCAACTGAATATTGTAAAAACATCAGTTGTCTTCAAATTAATATTTGCTTTTAATACAATCCCAATGAAAATTCCAGTGGGACTTTTTAAGTTAACAGAATAATTCTAAAGTTTATATAGAAGAATAAACATTTAAGAACAGCCAAGAAAAATGTGGAAACTTGCCCTAGTTGCTTTTAAAATGTATAAAAAAGCTGCAGTAATTGAAACAGTGTATGGTTGGT